AAGAAGTGGAAAAAAAGTTACACACAATTCAGTGCAACAACACCTGAATGGAATATTGTATTGTACTCTCCTATTCTTTTACAGAAATGTTGTTGAATTTATGATTACAGGGTAGGATTTTGATAGGAACTCAAAGGAATTGGGCACCCAGCTATGAACACTCTTTACAATTGGGACACCTTCCTGCCTTTGTCTCCTTCCCCTGCTTCAGCAGAAATGACAAACACCAGTAGAGACTGGCAAACTGAATCTTACTGACATCCAGAAGCTAAAATTGTCCCATTTTATGCAAAGAAAGTCCTTTCTGCCTCTCTCTACATCCTAGTATACATAATTTTTTTCCCCACTTCTTCTCCTGTAGCTTCCCCACCCTGATTCCATCTCCCAGGGGCCTCTTGCTAAACTCCCCTCTGAGCAGCAGCTCTCATTCCACTCCTTATAATGAAGATTTTGGGATCCATCAACACTCTTCACTCCTGTAAACTGTCAGGAGGCTGAAGATGAACTGAGGGCAAACGTTATGGATATACCAGGTGCTGGACTGTGTATCTTTTTTACCAAACCTTCCAGTTTTAAAAGAATTGTTCCACTAACTCTGAACATTTTTGTCCATCTTTTACCGTATTAAAATAAGGTCTTGGAAAGAGAAATCTGCCCAGAAGAAACCAACCTACCTATCTCCAATGTCAAAGAAGGCCACAGTAACATGAAGTAGCAATTTTCAAGGTTTAAATCCATTTCCAATAAATGGGCTAGGGTCTAGGTGAAGCTTAAGGGTCCTCAGAGAGGTGCCTGATGTTGGTGCCACACAGAAGGGTTTCCATGGCATACACTCAGTGTGACCCTGTGGCAGCACAGGACCCTTCAAGGTTATTACTCTGGGGTTTTTTTTACAAAATTAGCTGCCCCACGAGCCCAGAGGAACTTCCTAAAGCTGGAGCCCCAAAATACTCCACACCTCCTCAGGCTGCAGAATTCAAAAGGTAGTTGCCTGGCATCACAGTACTGAAAAACTTACATCTACATAACTGCAAAGCAATGCCACATTAAATTTGTTCCAGGACCTGTTATTTGTGGAAGAAAAGTTGTGTTTTATTTGCAACCACGTTGTGTTTCTTTATTAGACTGAACCTGAACAAAATACACGTACATAGGTGTATACTCCTCCCAGAATGCAAACACCATTGGCCAGTTTCTGAGGAAGGAAGAGCATCCTCTGTTTACCTGTTCATTTGCTAAAATCCCCTAAACCCCACCTTTCTAGACTCTCTGAATCAATCTGGGACTGAAGCCAAAGGCACGGACTATATAAGACTGGGAGAGCCCAGGGGAACTACTGCTCCCGACCAACTTCAGACCCAGCATCCTTGTGCCAGACTCCACTGGGGATGGGGTTTGGCAGGGGGATGGGGGGGCCTGAATGGGCTTTCCTGTTGGCACTTTGCTGTATCCATCAGATAGGTAAGTTCTCTTTTTTATTGGGAAAAGAAAAAAATATTCTGTTTAAATCTAGCAATATCTTTTAACTCGTTTCTATCGTTCCACTTCACAGACTGTTGCATTTAAACACCATTTCATTATTTTTTTACCTCAACTTTTGTTAAATGTTGAAGGCCTGAATGGGCTTTCCTGTTGGCACTTTGCTTTATCCATCAGATAGGTAAGTTCTCTTTTTTATTGGGAAAAGAAAAAAAATGTTCTGTTTAAATCTAGCAATATCTTTTAACTCGTTTTATCGTTCCACTTCACAGACGGTTGCATTTAAACACCATTTCATTATATTATTTTTTTTTACCTCAGCTTTTGTTAAATGTTGAATATCTATTAATTGGTCTGGTTTCATTTAATATTGCCTCGAATTACTGCATATAACCACATTTGGAAGGTAGCCTTGAACATCAAACCAAAGAGAATCATTATTCATGCCTTAAAATGTCAGTTATTTGGTATCACGCTTCACAAAAGCTTTTTATTCCTGTTGCTTTTGATATTAAGGTTGAATATGAACTTTATGGGGTTTATGATATTTCAAACACTATGGTTTCTCATTGCTAGATCAGACCACTGGCCAATCTTTTCCAGTATCTTGTCACCTACGAGGAGCTAATAACAGATTCCTCAAGATTTCTTGCAGCTTCTTTTGCAAAAGACACTAGAAGGGAATATTCACATGACAATAATTTTCAGTAATTAACTGTGCATTGATAATAGTGTCAAATATTTATATAAATTACTGAGAGTGAGTGTGAGCAGGACAGAAGTTTATCCAACCCATGCAATCCATTATTTTGTGTGGGTTTTTTTTTATTCTCCTGTCTATATTATACTAATAAAAGCTCCCAAGACTGGCCCTGATGAATACAAGTAGCCCTATTAAGTCCGTGGGACAACTTAAATTGAAATTACTTGTGTGAGTCCAAGCTTGCTAAGTCAGTCCTGTTCACACACATTAACTCCTGCCCTGGCAGCTAACACTTTTAAATCTTCAGATTGCCTATGTAAATTTATCTTGCATATCATTTTCAAAACAATGACAAGTGCAAATATAATCTCAGGCTACTTTATAGTTTGTGAAATAAACACTGAAATGCTGGCAGGTTGATTTAAGCACAAAACACAGCAGTGAGAGTGCAAGCTTACATTTACAGTTCCACAGCGTCAGTCAAAGGCATCTTCAGCCTTTCACTGGGCAATAAAGTTGTTTGTACTGTGCAGTGCTAAGCTGATAAATGGCTTTGAAAAATGGGTAGTGGTTAGATAGAGTCCAGCAGACTCCCTTTTATGTGAATCACACTCTGTGGAGAATATTTTCCTGCGTCCTGAGTGACTAAAGAATATCCCAATCCCATGCCATGGTCACAAACCTTCCAAGCCTGACTTTGTATTTGGGGTTATGGATATAGATTTAGCAAGATGCATGCTGAAATAGTCTTAATAATTAGGTCAGATCCCAAATTATCAGAGTAAATGATCTCGACTGTCTTTACAACCAAGACACACTTATTTTTACCATGGTCGACCACGTGGCATTACGCAATCGCTCGATAAACCACTGCAGCTACAATTTCCTTGGGAATGGTGTATTTGCTGAGTAAACAAAAGCCCCTGCTGCTTCCCTGAGAAAAATTAACAGAGCAAAATACACATCTATACTGTTTTGCTCTGATATGAAGGTTCTCATGCTAGAATAAACATTCCATGATTCCATGCCTGCTGAGATTCCTATGGATGTGTTGACCGAGAGCAAATTCTGGTCTGTTATTAAGATGTAGAGGCTTTTGTCTCACCTGATCAGTATCAATCATAATGATATGAATATATTTACCTAATGATATTATCTGAAAGACTAACAGGAAATAGAAAATGGTTAAGCTCTGTCCTAAGTTATTTCTTTGTCCACCCGCAGTGCTCACACACAAAATTAAGTGAGAAAAGAATTCAAAGTTTAGGTGTGAAGGAAGCTGCAGACTCTGCAGCAGCTTCTAGATATGGTGAGGCTGCCCAGAACCCTCTCCTCCAAAGCCAGCAGTCTCCTGGGGACCCCTCTGGGAGCAGGGACTTGAATCTCTTCCCAATGACATCCTTCAGCTCTGGGATCAAGTATTCCATCTGCTTACACAGTGGACACAGCCAGGAGTCACACTGGAAAAGTCACTTGTAAGAAGGTGCTCCTCATCCAGTTATTTTTTAAGGCAAAGTTAGTTGTCCAGCTTTCATGGAGGTATCTGGGCTGAGGTTCTTAGGTGGAAGAAATGCTCATCAAGGAATGTAATCACCAAAGGGAACTGGGGTTCATGGCACACCCTTGACTTCAGCATTTCCCCCTCCCATGTGTCTCTCTGTTCAGTGAGATAGGTCCAGTTCTGACTCACTGGACTCTTCCCACCTTTGTATAAGGAAAAAGGGGACCTAATTTAGGACTAAATTATGTAGGCAGTTCCTCTTTGACTGAGAAATTCTCTAGAAGCCCGGAGTGCTCATCCACATAATCCTGATGAGGATTAGTCATTTCATCACCTAAATCCTTTGAGGATTTAGACTTGGCATGTTAGACTCCATGTCAGTCAACATGCTCCAAGCATGGTTATCACATGCTGCCACGACTCCCTCCTTCACAAAATGAGGTTGTAGCCATTTTTCTTTTACAGAAAAATGCCACATTTACTTACAGAAGACAAGACCTTAGAGCACCAACCCAGGAGCTCAGGGTCAGTCTTTTCTTAGGCGTGCAAGTATCCAGGAAAATAATTGTAAACTCTCAAAAGTCTCTGCCAATATCTCCTCTGGTATGGGATTGCTGGACCAGACACGGAAAGGTTCATGACTATGGACTATGTTCTCCTCCCTTGTCACTGTCCCACTGCTTTTGGCACCATGTCTCAGCTTCAGGTGGTGCAGCAAGGACACTTGGTCAAATAGAATTGCAGTATGATGCTTCAGGTTTTCTGCAGAGATGTGTTTAAACCATCCCAGAGTGAGAAGAGGGCTGGAGCAGGATACCTGGTCCTTCTGGTTACTTCTCCTGGAACCATACGGGATCAAGCCCTAAGTCTCTTGCTTCTTTTTAACCAGTTCTGTGCCTTTTCTTACTATTACCAAGCTCCTACACAGCAATCTGACTGAATGACTCTTAGCTCATGCAAATTCTTCCTGTAACTTTTTCAGATGTTAGAGAGATATAGTGCAGCAGTAAAATAAAGGCTGTGATCCAGCCATTGGAATCCCTTGCAGTGAGTTTTAAGGGAAACAAAGCAAGCAGACATGCATGACATGATATTTGGATCTCAAACTCTGCATTTCTAATAAAAAGGTTCTTTCTATAATTACATTTCACCTTTTTGGGGGGGCCTGTTTCAGTTTTTTTCTAATGTGATAAAGGCCTCACCCCTTTGTCTTACAGGGGTGTATCAGGGTCCTTTGGTCCTATCTAAATGCTTTGCTTTAAAAGTTCAAACAGAGAACATTGTACAGAACATGGTTTTTTAACATTTCCTTTACAGGAGCCCAGACTGAAAACCAACAGGCAACAGGAAGCCAATACAATGAGGATGTTCAGCAGAAACAGAACTGTACGTTCATTTATACTATTTGTTTTTATTTACTATATCTCTACTAGGTAATAGAAACAGCTGAAAAAATCTCCTTAGCATATTGCCAGTAAAGGCAAATAAAGCTAAATCTCTATTAACCAGCCTCTCTCTATAAGAACAGCAATGTCTTCATTGGACATCAATTGCTAATTAAACAGTATGGCAGTATTTGTGTAATAAATAACTAAGGAAAGAGCTGTGTGTTTGTAGGGGCTGTATGTGTGTGAATATGGAGATGACAGAAAATCAGAGTGTATGTGTGGGATGTTTGGTTCCTTACAGACAAGGAAATGGGCTTTGGTTTAAAAGGCTCGTTAAATGCAACCACAGCTTTGACAAGCTGTGAAGTTGGTGGCTGATGTTGGGGAAATTAGGATGGCAACCCAACTTTGGCGAGTTTTCCCAAGGAATGATTTGTGCTCATTCTGTACAACTGGTTTTTGGGCAGTTCTAAAGGTTTGCAGCCCCTTAACAGACAAATACTAAGCAGAGAGCAAAGGGGATCATGAAAGTTTTTATTCCCTCCTTACAAAGAGGTGTAACGAGAAGGCAGCTATGGATTTATACCAATAACAGGCTAATTTGGTACAGCTTAACCCTGGGTAAGGTTCAGTGTGTCTGAAGCACTCCAATAGGAAGAGTGCATATTAATAATTAATGAAATCAATTTTGTACTGTTATACTAGTTTGGGGTTTTCTTACTTTTTCCCCCCAGCTTCTTCTGGAGCCTCATCTAAGGTGAACATCATCCCACCAATGCTGACAAACCCAGTAATAACACGTAAGTAAAGGAAATGAAATATATTCAATAAGTTTTCAGGTTTAGGGGCCATAGACAGAGGAATCCAATACAAATAGGGAAAGTCACTGGTAAAGGAAGTGATGGATTATTAAGAGTAGAAAGGGGGTGACTGAGGAACGTAACATTCAACTGTTATCTTAGCTGAAATGTGGGCAACTAATAAAAGTAGCTGAATGAAACTATTACCATTTATAAGAGTATATAGGATGAGTAACAGATGTAACGAGTGAAGAATCAATACAGAGTTTTATAACAGACGGAGAGAAAATAACAAATGGAGGTAGGCAGGGGAAAACTTTTTGTCATTGATGACAAAAACAAAGCCTTGGACAAGTTGAGTTTCAGCACGTTAAGGGTGGGAATCAAGTAATTTGTTTTACACCTAATTTTAATCCACAGCTTCCAACCCCGCCCACAACGGCCGCGTGTGCAGCACGTGGGGCAACTTCCACTTCAAGACCTTTGATGGAGACATCTTCTCCTTCCCTGGGCTCTGTAATTACGTTTTTGCCTCCCACTGCAACACCCCCTACGAGGATTTCAACATCCAGGTCAGGAGGGTGGTGGTGGACAAGGCCCCCACCATCAGCCGCATCACCATCAAGCTGGAGGGTGTTGCCATCGAGCTGAGGAAGGACGTTGTCACCATCAATGGCAACAGGTAAGTTTAGTCATGGCCCTTGTTTGGTAACCATGGGCTTTGTTTGTTTCAGACATGCTGAGGACTTTGGTGGTTTTGGGGAGGGAAAAAATTGTGCATTCGTCAGTAAATCTGACAAATTTACCAGTGTAAATAATGACTAAGCTGTTATTAATTCCTCTGACAGCAAATCAGTCTTTCCCTTAGAGATCATCTCAAAAATAAAATTTGGATGAAAAATCCTAATGGTTTTGGATGAATCCAAATTCAGAGTCATATTTGATGATGCTGGACCATCTTTTAATCACTTTTCTTTCCACACAGCACTATTTTAGAATCCCTACAGATGATGGATACCACAAGCCATATTTTTTTCCCCTCTTCTCAAACATTTGGATCAGAAAATACCAAGAATTCTCTCTGCTTTTTCCCAGAGTTCAACTGCCATACAGCCAATCTGGAACTACGATAGAAGAGAGCAACAATTATGTGAAAGTTGCCAGCAAAATGGGCATCATGTTACTGTGGAATGAAGATGACAGTATCCTGGTAAGAACTGCTCCTGGACCTGCCTACACCTTCAGAGACCA